GGGGGGGGGGGGGGGGGGGGGGGGGGGGGGGGGGGGGGGGGGGGGGGGGGGGGGGGGGGGGGGGGGGGGGGCAGCTGGCGTGAAACTTGGTGGTGGATATGGACCGTTGATCTCGACGCCCTGTTGGACGAGAATGGGGTACCTGAGCAAGTTCTTCACAGTGCAGGGCGAGCGCGTAACGTACCGGTTTTCAGCATAAAAGAAGGAGACGCAAGCGAATGTAGGTGACACGACTCAGCGATCATTTCTCGGGGGCTGCTGGCTCCAAGCGGCACGTTCCATGGCGCCTTCACAGCCGCGTCCAAAAGGACCTTCAAAAATGGACGATCAGGGTAGCAGAGAGGGCCTGCTTCGAGATCACAACGCGGTAGGGTAGAGTACCTCTCTCTACTTCTGTGGGCGACCTGCCCATGACCCCGCTGGTACTGTAGTGTTCGACAGAACACGAGGCGCTGTTTTGACGTGGCGCAAGTGGCAGAGTCCATTGGCAACGACAACACCCGGCAGCCCATGGCGGGAGCCGGAAGAAGTAACTCTGGCCGCTGTGAGTGGCGCTGGGGGGGGGGTGTACTCATACTCATAGTCGTGCATGCCGCAGTCGCTGGACCATTGACCTCGCACCTCTACAAAGCCGGTCCCTACAAAGCCAGGACGGANGGCGAGTCGCATGAAGGGTGCGCTGCATCCTGCCAAGGGTCTTCGGCATCTTGTGCTTACCTCCTTGCGTACGGATGACAGCTGAGTAGGACTCAATTTATTTTTTGGTACTTTCACTTCCAGAGACAGTTGTAAGCACTGTGTAACTGCTGCGAGGGTGATTGACCAATCTAACGCAACGTCATACGATCATCCCCGTTGCGCGGAGTGAGGGTTCTCCACCCCGCACAACATGATCTACTCGACCACCATTCAGTATGGATAACTAAAAAAGGGCCCGAAGGCAAAAAAAACAGCGGTAACCTGATTGCCGAGCTCACGAGGTGAATTGGCTTGTTTTACAACATCGCTGCCAAGCGACGAAAACACAACCCCGATGGCTAACGCCGGGGGGAGCGGCTTCTGTTACAACGTCGTTGCCAAGCGACGAAAACCCAACCCC